CCATAGCTTTGCTTTCGACGTGCTTGCCATTCTCACCTTTGTTTGAGCACTTTGCAGTCAAAATGCTCAGGTCTTCCAGTTCATCATCAGTGATGCTGGTCCAGAGGGCAAATTCGTTCTTGACCTGAAGAATGGCAGCGGTGCTGCGAAAGCAGGTGAGGAGGGCGGCGCCGTGGGCCCCTGAGTCAGACCTGGTTCAAGCCATGTCGGGAAGTTTGTGCATGCTTAGGATATTATGCAGGACTCCCATGTGTGATTGCAGTCGATTGCAGTGCCATGCTTTGCCACGTTTCAACCTGAGGACTGCACCATCACTATGAAGGATGACGACCTTGTGGCAATGGCAGAAGGCAAGTTAGATGGCATGCAGGTTTTCATGGGAGGCAAGCTGAAGATCAAGGGTAACATGATGCTGGCCCAGAAGCTGCAGTCCATCCTAGAGGCTGCCAAGTGAGGATAGTTTGAGAGAGCTTGCCATCTCTGAAGGCTTCACCAGACGTTATGGTGAGAATCAGTTTTGAGGTGGTTTGACATGTTTCAATGCCTTTTGGAAGAATGTCGATGGGCAACTCCTATTAATTGGATTGGAGGGCACCCAAGCAGAGGCAGCAAAAGAGCGAGGAAGGAGCCTGTGATTGTATTCAGATATGTATCACTAGTCACTAGTCAGTTTAGGCCCAAGCCGTGCACATGACTTGCAATTGTTCGTAGAGTTGTTGCAGACAAAGCAAATCTTACGGCATTTCGATGGTGGCATGGCTATATGTTGGTGACTTTTCAAGCGGCAAGCTTCCGCAGCTGTTTTGTAGCTGCAAGCTTGTGCCATCGCGTGCCACAGCTTCTTTCGAGACAAATCCCTGCCAGCCGCGATGAAGTCTCAGGCTTTGTTTGATGCCATGTCTGCGGCTGTGAAGAGCAAGGGTCCTGAGCTTGTCAAGATGGGAGGCGCAGTCACTTGGTTCCTTAAGCGTGTTCCTCATGTTTGGTTTTTATTGTGTCACGATGTTGCTTGATGTTACTTACTAGCTGGAGTTGTGTAGCAAGAATTTGTCAGGGGAACTCCCAGGCCCAAAACGTGAATGTACCAGACTCAGACCCCTCCCGCCGGGTTCAACTCCACCCTGGCCCGTCCTGGTCCACAGCCCTTTCACCAGTGGAAATGACAACTATCCAGCAGCAAGAAAACACCACTTCACTGAACCAGTCACTGCACTGGTGGTAAAGCTCTTTCGGCTGTAAGAATTCGCCGACTGAGCAGCCACCTGCTATCCATAGCTTTGCTTTCGACGTGCTTGCCATTCTCACCTTTGTTTGAGCACTTTGCAGTCAAAATGCTCAGGTCTTCCAGTTCATCATCAGTGATGCTGGTCCAGAGGGCAAATTCGTTCTTGACCTGAAGAATGGCAGCGGTGCTGCGAAAGCAGGTGAGGAGGGCGGCGCCGTGGGCCCCTGAGTCAGACCTGGTTCAA